CGACAGAGCGGGACTCCGTCTCAAAAAAAAAAAAAAAAAAAAAAAAACCAAAAAATAAATAATTAAAAAAAACAGCTACAAAATCCAAATGCAGTGATGGTTTTGTGCAAAGATGACGGCTGATGGGAGGACTGCAGAGGAGCAGGTGGGGGGCTGGAAGAATGAGTGTCCCTTCCCAGCCTTCCTCACACACCATCACCTCTGACAACAGGACATTGGAGAGGACTAATGTGCTCCCCACTCCACCTTCCTTTGCTCTCAGAGTTTATAATTCTTCAAGCTAGAGAGGAAGAAGTCTAGGATGCGTATTATTTGAGAAGAATGTGTATTATGCAACAGCTACAGTCAAGGCCCTTCCTTACCCAGGTCTCTTCTCTGTAGCCCAGCAGTGGGGCCAAGTCCTGACTGTAGCAGGGAACACTTGCCCTTGGCTCCGGGCCCATCTTGTGCTCCTGATTATCCCATCACTTTGGTGGGTGCAGCTACCTGACGATTTATGTGTCTTCCTAGCTCGAAGGAGCAAGTCGGGGCAGGGCCAGGCTGCCAGAGCTGGCCCACCGCGGGATCCCACATCATCTGGCCTCTGGCAAAGCCCAGGGCAGAGGGAGCTTCCATTGTTGATCTGGATGGGTTCTTCGGGGCATTTGCCAGTGTTTGTGCTTTGGACAATCCTGCTCTAAAATAAATTGTAGAATTTGGATGAAAACGAAGGTCAGGAAGAGGAATGTTCTTTTGGTTCCAAATTTTCTAAGCAGGCTGCTCTGATCCAGAGTACCTTCCCTTTGGGCGGCTGAAGGCATGGAGAGTTTGTAGTTTGCTGCCCTCTTGTGGCACAGAAGTGATAAAAAGATTGTCTTCCTCTTTCAGATGAGATCAGGCTCATTTCTCTGACAGTGAGTGAGCAGCCCATAGACAAGGTGTGGGGCAAAAGTGAGAACTGTACGTGGTCTCCACTGGCAGAATTCCCAGACTGGTGGAGGTGGCTTTTCGTACAACTCACGTCTGAGGGCAAAAATACACACTTTGGCTTTGCACAGAGGGGGTGACGACCCTGTACGTATCCCAGTACCTGGGCTGCCCCGCTGAAGAGGTCAAGTGGCCACCAGCTGAGCCTACAGCAGTCTTTAATAACTAGTCAATTTCCTCGTGGAGAACTGATAAGACAAGCTCAAAATCATTTTCAACCGGCCTCCCTATCCCCCAGTTCCTTCTTTTTTTCTTTTCTTTTTCTTTTTTTTGAGAGGGAGTCTTGTTCTGTCACCCAGGCTGGAGTGCAGTGGTGCAATCTTGGCTCATTGCAACCTCTACCTCCCGGGTTCAAGCAATTCTCCTGCCTCAGTCTCCCGAGTAGCTGGGATTACAAGGCATGTACCACCACACCCAGCTAATTTTTATATCTTTTAGTAAAGATGGGGTTTCACCATGTTGGTCAGGCTGGTCTCAAACTCCTGACCTCCTGATCTGCTTGCCTCAGCCTCCCAAGGTGCTGGAATTACAGGTGTGAGCCACCACGCCTGGCCTCCTTCCTTTTTTCTATCTACTTAGCCATTGTTGTCTTTTCCAAAAGGCCTCCCTTTTCCAAACCCCAACACGATTCTGTTTTGCCTCCCGTTATGGGCTGAATTCTGACCCCTCCCAAATTCACAAGCTGAAGCCCTAACCCCCAGGACCTCAGCATGTGAGTGTATTTGGAGACAGGGCCTTTAAAGAAGAGGTGATGAAAGTTAAATGAGGTCATGGGGGTCCACTCTAGTCCAATATGACAGGTGTCCTCATAAGGAGCGGAGGTTAGGACGTGTAGAGACAGACGGCAGGGTTGTGCATGTACAGAGGAAAGACCACGTGAGGACCCAGCAGGAAGATGGCCAGCTATTACACAAGCCACGGAGAGAGGCCTCAGGAGAAACCAACGCGGCCGCGCCTTGATCTCAGACTTTCAGCCTCCAGAATGGAGAAAATATTAATACATTTCTGTTGGTTAAGCCACTTTGTCTGTGGACTCGTGTTGTGGCAATCCTCAGCTGATACACCTGCTAACAAAATCCTTGTTCCTAAAGGGGCAGTTGTTGCATGTCGAGGTTTTTAAGGACAGAAACTCCATCCTGGGCCTAGCCACAGTTTTTGTATTTGTCCATAAGATCCTTAAAGTAAAACACTGGGAGCTGCAGTTTTTCTTTACCTTTCTTTCATCATCATAGTAATCTACTTTACAGGTGAAACATTCTTAAAAGTTAATTTGCCCAGGGTCACCCAGGTAGTGAGAAGCAGGATTCAAACTCAGTTCTGCCTCTAAGTGCCCTCTCTTTCTCTCTGGTCTGGAGCAGCTGACACAGCCCCAAGGAGGGTCTGGGGACAGGAGCCAGAACTGTGCACCTCTGTCTGGGGTGAATATTGGCAAACTGCAGGAGGACTGAGCCATAAACCCTAACATGGTTTGGCTTCTTCCTTAACCCACTCAGAAGTTCGGTTCTTGTGAAAAACTCACATGTCCTCCACAAGGGGGCAGGTACCACCCCCCACACCACCCCCATCTCAAGGTCTCTCTGGTACGTCGGAATTGAGACCAAGGGGAGAGCTCGTGTGCATTCTGGTCTTTGTCAACAGTGACTCCCAGCCACACTCTTACTCTTTCAAAATACATTTTATTAGCAGCACATGGAATGTAAAGTTAGGCAATTTCTTTCCAGAGAGAAGGTGAGCTCTGAGAGACTGAAAAACTGGGCATGGATTTTACAGCGGAATCGCGTTTCCAGTGTAACAAGAGATAAAGGGGAATACTGTCCCCAAGGAAATGACTTTCTTCACCATGCTGACCACGCTGCACAGTGCCCGATCCAGCTGGTAGGGATGGGGAGGTGGGAAGAATCTCAAAGCACAAAACAGGGTGAGGACGCAGGAAGTCATGGGGTCAGCCCTACAGCAGTCGGCTCCTCTCTGTTGTTGGAGAGACTGTGAGCACTGCCACTCACCATATGAGGACCAGAGGGTCTTTGGCAGGTGGAGTCTGGCTCATGGGAGAACACTGATGGAGGCTCATCTCTGAACCCAAGAAACTTCACGGAATCCCACAGCATCTCCATTATGACCTTCCATCTCCAGGTTAGGGAGCTATGGTTTCTTTAGAAGTATCTGGGTCCTTTGGAAGTATCTGGACACATCCAGATAAGTCAGGGAAGATCTGAACTTTCTTAGGAAAATCAGTTTAGTCTCTCATACATGGAGAACATTTCCCTTAAAGGATTTTGGTTCTTTTCCCTGATGTTCTTGTGCAACATTCTGAGGGTCACCTGGACTTCGCCCACCAGTGTGTCTGTGGCTCTTGTCTCACTTCCAGACGCCTCCAACTCTGCCGGAGCCTCCCTCCCCACCTTTCAGCCCACAGTGTCTGCATGCTGCGGGTCTCCCAAATCTGTCATGTTAGGATCATGCTGCTGCTTTCCTTCTCTTCTTTCTTTTCTTTTTTTTTTTTTGATACCTCGCTCTGTTGCCCAGGCTGGAGTGCGGTAGAGTAATCATGGCTCACGGGCATGTCTCTCATGACTTCAGAACCTGCCCCTCAACCAAACATTCAGATGTTTATTAAGGCAACAAAACAAGTGACAGACTGCACAATTTGTTTCCAATTATGGATCTAATTGATTAGGCTGTGTCTCATGAGGAGACAGTACTCCTCCTCTAAGCTAGCATCTGGAACACAATCTTCCAGGGGCTTAGGCCAGGTCTGTGATAGTAGTATCGTCAGGATCAATTCCAAAGTGCAGCTTGCTGTCCTTGGCGGCTGCCCAGGGCATGGAGGCAGAGGTCCACTTTGCCACCCAGTCTCCTGTCTTGCTAACCAAGATGAGGCCACCTAAACCTTTGACCCTTGACTTCATATAACCCAACGATAGATCCGCAGCCTCTTCTAGTGTCTTTCCTGAAAATAAGGAAGGGTTGAGAAACAATACACATTACTGAACAGAATCTCATGAAAAATCACTTGCAGTTAGAAATGCCAAAGTGAACTAGGAAGGATTTGTGGTAAATGAACACGTGAATGCTTAAAAGGAGGGTCCTCCCCTCCTTGCCCTGAGACAGCACCCTAGCATCAGCCCAAGCAGAGGCGTCTTCCCTCCCTCACTCAGGCTCAATGTCTCTCCACTGCCCCCTTCTCCTGAGATGTGGAAGACAACAGTACTCAATGCTCTCCCACTCCAGACCTAAGAGAAGGTGGAGTCAAAACACAGTGTTAACAACATGAAAGCAACATCTGTAGCCAATAGGAAAGGGTTTCCTACACGTCTCCATGTGTTTACTTATCAAATACCTTCTAAGCATTTGTCTTCACAAATTATTTGACTTGTCCTGTGGTCTGTGTACCTTGTTCCATGTGGAACAGAGTGAGTCTGGCCAGGTTCACCTTCAGGATGCTTTCCCCGTGCCCTGTGGTTGAGATGGCTCCGATGTCATTGTCAGCATAACCTCCGGATCCTGCTCAAAAAGGGTGATTGTTCTGAGCATTCACAGTTGAGAAATTCAAATCCACATTAGAAGTCGGACGCTATGTGAAAGTTAAATCGCGAAGCGTGCTCAAGTATAGACAAAGGTCAGGTTAGCAGCCATGATCTGTAGACACTAAGGTGGACTAGAAAGCGCCATGTAGATGCCCCAGAATGGAGGAGGATAAAGGGAGCCTCAGGAGGGCAGGCCTGACCTTCCCACAGCAGCTACAGCAGGACAGCGTCTCCTTGGCCCCGAAGCATAGCCACTCCTTTCTGCTCAATGAAGCTCCCCCTCCCTGCCTCCTCCTCATGCCCCACACACTATGGAGGAGAAACAGCATGACTACATTACATGGATCTCTAGCAAGGCCATCACGTTCCAGTGATTATGGGAAAACGGATACCCACAACCTAACATCCGTGCATACTGTCCAATGGAAGGCAGATCTATTTGTTGAGGGTGGGCATGACTGGACCTGAGGGAACTATTCTGGGCTATACACTTAAGTAGGGGTCTGCAGCGAAAGCTACTTTGATAAGATTCTTCCTTATTTTGTTCTGGGATCAAGCAACCTTACAGCCTTCTCTAAGTCATTCCTCTATCTGTTCACACACAGCTACCAGCCTGAGAGTCCTTTAGCCTTGGAAGGATTCACCTTTACTCTCCTGCAGTTGATACAGAAGCAGAGATGACTGACATTTGCCTTACTTATGGATGCTGGACATGGGGCAAGGACTTAGGAGTTGGGATGTTGTACTGAATTGTCACAAGGCCCCAGAGGTTCATCCCTGGCTCTGGCTCTGGAGGGAGATGACACTGGGCAGTGAGTGAACTGCTACAGTGGGAGGAGGAGCCTTTCCTTTTTCTTATAAGCTTCTACTGGGGAATAAATGGGCCAGGTTCCAGGGTGTCAATCTGCCCTAATATTTGGAAGCAGCCAAGTCTTTGCTTGCTTTTCAGTTACTCTAGGACCACAGAAGGCCAGGCGCCTCCAAGGGTGGTCCTGGCACAGGCGTCGGGTCTGTGAAGCTGTCCTCCCCACCACATGCACTTCTCAGGACAAGTGGATTGCCTGAGTGACCACTGCTGTGCCTAGCACCGTCCCTCTTGACTGTCCAGCCGGGGGCCTAAGGCTGCTCAGAAGGCCAGGCAAAGCACATCTGGTGCTCACAGCTGGACAAAGACTTCTGAGAATTTAGCTTACGCCTCTTCTTGTCTAGTTTACCACTGTAACTGAAGTTTAAAATTAATTTCTAGGCTGGGCATGGTGGCGCACGCCTGTAATCCCAGCAGTTTGGGAGGCCGAGGCAGGCAGATCACGAGGTCAAGAGATTGAGACCAACCTGTCCAAGATGGTGAAACCCCGTCTCTACCTAAAATACAAAAAATATTAGCTGGGCGTGGTGGCGTGCACCTGTAATCCCAGCTACTCAGGAGGCTGAGGCAGGAGAATCACTTGAACCTGGGAGGTGGAGGTTGCAGTGAGCCAAGATCGCTCCACTGCCCTCCAGAGTGAGTCTCTGTCTTGAAAAAAAAAATTAATTTCTAGGATCTAACCTGGAGTGACCCTGTGGTCTGGTCTGAACCCAGCTGAAGCAAGCTGCACTACTGACTAGGGATAGTTTGGTAGGATTTTTGCTAAGGAGAAAGAAAGGTAGACTACTTCCTGTCTCTTGGGTGATTTATCAAGGAGGAGAGGAGTTACCAAGCCTCTACTCTTTAAGGAAGCTTCCAGTGTCTCTGAGGTTCATGAAAGAAAAAGGGTATCAAGAATTGTCAAGAGTGTAGATTATTACTAAAGACTGGAGGAACACATTAAGTGCCTCTCACCCACTCCCGGGAATGAGCTGATGTGCTTCCTCATTATTGTAAACAACATCTCAACAACATCTCAATCTGTAATATATCTGTAGAAGTCTGTCGCTTTCATGCTGGTCAAATCTAATAACCGCAGTCTTAAACTCGCAGATTTCTCAGATTGCTAATTGGAGCCCATGTCTGGGGAGTAAGTCTCACTCAAGTAAGTCTGCAGATCCTGAAACTGCGGCTAAGGAGAAAGCAGAATCACTATCGGGTAGACTGGGGGCAAGTTTAGCATCCCTATCTCCACTTCTCTCCCCAAGTTGTTCCGAAAAGGCACGCGTTCTAGAAAAACAGTGCCGCCGATACAAACACCCTCTCAAAGCAGGGCCCCGAACAGCCCCTTCCAACCCCATTTCACTCCCAGACATCCTGGAGTTGCACCAAGATCAGAAAGGGAACGCAGCAAGAAAGGGAGAGGGGGGCAGGGAATAGGGAATGAGGAGAGCCTGAGGATGGCGGAAAGGAGAAGGGGCAGGAGCCATCCCTTGGTCCTACCTACACACGGTGAGTCCCCAACGCGGCCGACCATTTTATTAACGATACCCCCTGTAGAGGTTGCGTAGGCCACATTCCCTTTGCAGTCCAAGGCAACAGCACCCACGGTTCCCAAGTTTCTGCCAGAAATAAACAGAAAAAAGGGACAGGCTGAAAATGAGAATGAACCCCATAACCAACAATGTAGCTTCACCCTTTAACTCCAACATTCTAGAGAGAACCTGCCTGCTTCTCATTCCACATGTAAGTCACAGGTGGATTGCTGGACACCCCTCTACACCTCAGCTTTAAGAGCACATTCAATCCGAACATCACCATTTGCTAGCTGTGACCTTAAGTTTTCTTTTGTCTCATTGTCTCCATCATAAAATGGGGAAAAAAATAAGGTGCATCTCAAGCTTTAGTGTATATAAGAATCCATTGGATCCTTGAGCCCACAGAGATTCTGAAGCTGCCACCAAGAGGAGAAAGGAAAGGAAAAAGTGAATTGGTAGATATGGGGTGGGACCCAATATCGTGTGTGTGTGTGTGTGTGTGTGTGTGTGTGTGTGTGTGTGTGTAAGACAGAGTCTCACTCTGTCACCCAGACTGGAGTGCAGTGGCACAATCTTGGCTCACTGCCACCTCCGCCTCCCAGGTTCAAGTGATTCTCCTGCCTTAGCCTCCTGAGTAGCTGGGATTACAGGGACATGCTACCACACCTGGCTAATTTTTATATTTTCAGTAAAGATGGGGTTTCACCATGTTGGCCAGGCTGGTCTCAAATCTCTGACCTCAGGTGGTCTGCCCGCCTTGGCCTCCCAAAATGTTGGGATTACAGGTGTGAGTCATTGCGCCTGGCCGATCCTGCATTTCTGACAACCTCCCGGGTGTCGCTGATGCTGCCTGCCTATGGACCCTGTGTCATGCGGTTGTCGTAAAGATCAAATCAGTTAATTTCCCCTAATATTTTATTATGAATTCTTGAATACAGTCATGTGCCATGTATGATGTTTGGATCAACAGACTGCATCTGCATATATGAAGGTGGTCCCATGAGATTGTAAGACTCTATTTTTACTGTACCTTTTCTATGTTTCAATACACAAATACTTATCATTGTGTTAACAACTGCCTACATTCAGCACAGCCACATGCTGCTCAGGTTTTTAGCCTGGGAACAACAGGCTGAGCTACGCAGCCTAGATGTGCAGTAGGCTCTGTACATCTCTGGGTTTGTGTGAGTGCACCCTATGATGTTTGCACAGCTATGAAATTGCCCAACTATGCATTTCTCAGAGTGCATTTCTCATCCCGTCATGCAATGTGTGACTGTAACAAAGTTGAAGAAATTGTCCACTAACACCCAATACCCACCAGCAAAATTCTATAATAAATTGTATATAAGGCACTGTTTTTTTTTGAGATGGAGTTTCCTCTTATTGCCCAGGCTGGAATGCAATGGTGCAATCTTGGATCACTGCAACCTCCGCCTCCCGGGTTCAAGTGATTCTCCCGAGTAGCTGGGATTACAGGCATGTGCCACCATGCCTGTCTAATTTTGTATTTTTAGTAGAGACAGGGTTTCTCTATGTCAAACTGGTCTTGAATTCCTGACCTCAGGTGATTCACCTGCCTTGTCCTCCCAAAGTGCTGGGATTATAGGTGTAAGCTACTGCACTCGGCCTTGAGGCACTGTTTTAAGTGTTGGGACACAGTGGTAAGCTAAACAAAGTCCCTTCTTCCATGGAGCTTGCATTTGGGGTAGAGGGTTGTAGTAACAGGGCAATAGTGTGTCAGGAGAACAACTCCCCCCCACACAACCAACCCCCCCCAAAAAAAAACCCAAACAAAAAACAAAGAAGAAGAATACCACAGCATCAGGGAAGAGTGATGGTGGGGAGGTGCTGTTTGATACAGGGTGTCTCTGCAGGACAGAGGGGCAACATACCATGTCAACTGCTGGGGAGGAATGTTTCTAATGCGCAAACATGCCTGCCATGTACATGGAATTTGAAGGAGGCCAGCATGGTTGGGGAGAATAAAATGAGGGAGAGCATGGTAGGTGAATGATCACAGGGACAGCCAAGGCCAGATCACAACGTCTCTGACAACTGGGGTGACTCTATGCACTAGTTACCCAGGACAGTTTAAATTTATGCCTGCTATCATGGCTTAATTATTAATAGTGGCACTTTTACTCTCAAGATAGAATTCCAGTTTAAACACCAAATAATATAATCATCCTACCTTTAGGCCATTGCAAAGGCTTTTATTCTGAGTGAAATGAGAGGACACTGGGGAGTCTGAGTTAAGAAGTGCCACAATCTAAGTTTAATCTTAAAAATGATCACTCTGGGCCAGGTGTGGTGGCTCAGGCCTGTAATTCCAGCACTTTGGGAGGCTGAGGCAGGTGGATCACCTGAGGTCAGGAGTTTGAGACCAGCCTGGCCAACATGGTGAAACCCCCTCTTTACTAAATATACAAAAAAATTAGCTGAGTGTGGTGGTGGGTGCCTGTAATCCCAGGTATTCAGGAAGCTGAGGCAGGAGAACTGCTTGAACCCAGGAGGCGGAGGTTGCAGTGAGCTGAGATAGCGCCACTGCGCTCCAGCCTGGGCGACAGAGCGAGACTCTGTCTCAGGGAAAAAAACCCAAAAATCATTCCACTCTACCCGCCCTGCAGCAGAGTGGCTAAAATGAAAGAGGCATATCAAACCTGGCAAGGATGTGCAGGAACTGGAACGCTCATTCAATCCTGCTGTTAGTGTCAACTGTACCAACATCTTTGGAAAACCATTTCACAGTATCTACTGAAACTGATCATATGCACATTCCATGACTCAGCAATTATTCACCTGTGTATCTGTCCATCAGAAATGTGGCAGGTGTTCACCAAAAAAGCATATACTAGTGTTCACAGCAGCAGTAGGTATAATACACTAGTCCCCGCTTATCTGCAGGGGATACGTTCCAAGACCCTTAATGGATGCCTGAAACCTCAGCTATGACTGACCTCTATAAATACTATGTTTTCTGACGTACTCTATGTACATACCTATGATAAAGTTTAATTGATAAATTAGGTACAGTAAGAGATTAACAATAATAAAATAATATAACAATACACTGTACTAAAAGTTATGTGAATGTAGCCTCTCAAAACATCAGAACGCAGTTGAGTGTGGGTAACTGAAAGCACAGAAAGCGAAACTGCAGATAAGGGGGAGCTACTGTCACCCTAAACTGAAAACACAAATGTCCACCACAGGTAGACTACATAAGCTGTGGTGTGTTAATGAACTGGAATACTACACTGTGATGAGAATGAGCTATTGCAACAAACAGATGAATCTCAGAAGTATCATCTTGAAAGAAGGCAGGCCAAAAAAGTATATACTATATGATTTCACTGAAATAAAGGTAAAAGACAGGCAACACTCATCTATGTAGAAGTTAGGAAAGTGGTCACCTTGGGGGCAGGGTAGTGAGTGGAAAGGGGAGTGAGGGGAGCTTCTGGCAACATCCTTCTTCAACCAGGTGCTGATCACATGGGTGTTTCCCTCCGAACATTCATCAATGTGCATACGCGGGATTTGTGTACTTCTGTATGTATGCTATGCATCTATAATATTTTTATCTTAAAATATATATTTTTTGAGATGGAGTCTGGCTCTGTTGCCCAGGCTAGAGTGCAGTGGTGTGATCTCGGCTCACTGCAATCTCGGCTTCTCAGGTTCAAGCGATTCTCCAGCCTCAGCCTCCCAAGTAGTTGGGATTACAGGCGTGCGCCACCATGCTTGGCTAATTTTTTTTGTATTTTTAGTAGAGATAGGGGTTTTGCCATGTTGGCCAGGCTGGTCTTGAACTCCTGGCCTCAAGTGATCCATCCTTCTCGGCCTCCCAAAGTGCTGGGATTATAGGCGTGAGTCACCGCACCCAGCCTATCTTAAAATAATTATTCTGGCTGACACTGTGCCCAGCCTACCTTAAAATAATTATTCTGGCTGAAATGTGGTATTGACTGAGGACCAGAGTAGAAACAGAGACCGCTAAGGAGGCTTGAGAAGGCAGTCATTCGGGTCAGGATGGTTTCAGCAGAGAGGTAAGATGTAGGCTGGAGTTGGGGAATTTTGAAGGTAGAGCTGATAGAATTTCCAGGAAGACTGGAAATCATGATAGACATTAAGGCTTTTGGCTTTAGCAGCTGAAAGGACATAAGAACATTTATTGAAATGTAGGAGACTATTAGGAATAGGTTTTTTGTTTCTTGCTGGGGGGGTGTGTGTGTGTGTGTGTGTGTGCGTGCGTGCGCGCGCGCGCGTAGAGCAGGGTAGAGAAATAAATTCAGTTTTGGATCTAACCTTGAGGTTAGGCAGTAACGTGGAGACTGAAAAGTAGCCGGATAGAGTCTGGTATTCGAGGGGCTTGAGAGAGAAATTTGGCATCCTAGCTAGAAGAAAAGCAAATACGAATCCCACTTTCCATCATCATAAAAACTAACTCCAGATGGCTAAACATCTAAATATAAAACACAAAACGAATTTTTTCAAGAAAATCTAGGTGACTTTATGTGTCAGGCTAGGGGACTACCTTAGGAGTTTCGAGTCTTACGACTATAAAAGAAGAGGAAGGCATATTTAATTACCAAAAATCAAAATCTATCCCAGCACTTTGGGAAGCCGAGGCCAGTGGGTCACCTGAGGTCAGGAGTTTGAGACCAGTTATTTCATTTTGTTTTTTTGAGATGGAGTCTTGCTCTTGTTGCCCAGGCTGGAGTGCAATGGCGCCATCTCGGCTCACTGCAACCTCCGCCTCTCAGGTTCAAGTGATTCTCCTGCCTCAGCTTCCCGAGTAGCTGGGACAACAGGCACATGACACCATGCCCAGCTAATTATTGCATTGTTAGCAGAGACGTGGTTTCACCATGTTGGCCAGGCTGGTCTCAAACTCCTGATTTCAGGTGATCCGCCCGCCTTGGCCTCCCAAAATGCTGGGATTATAGGAGTGAGCCTCCGTCCCTGGCACTAAAATCTTATATATGGCAAAAATACCACAGCAAAAGCAAAATAAAAACAACAGATTTGGTATTTTTAATTTTTTTTTTTAAATTTACAGTAGAGTATAACCTTAAGGCTGATAAGAAAGAGCCAGGCACAGTGGCTTGTGCCTATAATTCCTGCTACTCAAGAGGCTGAAGCAGGACCACTTGAACCCAGGAATTCAAGGCCAGCCTGAGCAACATAGAGAAATCCCATCTACCTATAAAGAATGTTTAAAAAAAAAAAGTAAAATAAATAAATAAATAAATAAAGACTGATAAGAGAAAAAAGAATTCAAAGGAAAAAATGAGTATAGGACAAAAATAGGCAAATTCATAGAAAAGAAAAAGAGTGTGGTTGTTTTCATTACATGTTTAGCGTTTTACCAAATTTTGAAATTTCTTTTGCTAAACCTAGAATATTTCCATCGATTTTGCACTCACTGTACTGATAGGGTCAGGAAAAGATTAGGCGTGGCTAAGTATCGGACACATTGTATTATTCTTTCAAGAACATCAATCACATCAGTGCTTTATATTGTTTTCTGTTTCTGGTAAAATCAATTGTCTGTTTATTTGGCCTCTTTCCCTCGATTCCTGTAACTGCCTGTATGCGTTTTTGTATGTGATTCCTTGTGATTAGCAATTAAATCTTCCTTTAGTAAAGAATAAGAAGTTGCAAGGATTTCATCTGACTTGTTCAAACTGTGGATTTGGTGAAAATAATTTTCTTACTAATTTTTATTGTTTTGATTAATAAGTAGATCTTCATTTAACAAAACCTTTGTAATGTCTTGTTTGTGAATTTTATGTGGGTCACTGGAAGAAGATTGCTTATTTTTATTGTTTCTAGTGTTGGAAAATGCAAGCAGCCTGCTTCTTTGAAGATTTTTACTTCCTTTTTCTTTTTTTTTTTTTTTCCGAGCTCCACTTTAGCATTCTTATTCTATCAAAGTCTTGACTTATACTCATTTTCAATAATCTAAGGGATTAAAAGTGAAATGTAATTACATCCAAAGTATAAAAAATGAGAATGTATTTTCTTTTCTTTTTTTTTTTTTGAGACGGAGTTTCACTCTTGTTGCCCAGGCTGGGGTGCAATGGCACAATCTTGGCTTACCACAACCTCCACCTCCCGAGTTTTAGTGATTCTCCTGCCTCGGCCTCCCAAGTAGAGAATGTATTCTCATCAAAAATTAAAGAGCTAATCTTAAAAAAAAAAAAAAAAAAAAAAAAGTTGGCCAGGCATGCGTGTATAATTCTAGCACTTTGGGAGGCTGAGGTGGGCGGATCACCTGAGGTCAGGAGTTTAAGACCAGTCTGGCTAACATGGTGAAACCCTGTCTCTTCTAAAAACACAAAAATTAGCCAAGTGTGGTGGTGCACACTTGTAATCCCAGATACTGGGGAGGCTGAGGCAGGAGAATTGCTCGAACACGGGAGGCAAAGGTTGCAGTTAGCTGAGATCACACCACTGCACTCTAGCCTGGGCGAGAGAGTGTGACTCTGTCTCAAAAAAAAAGTAATTTGCAGGTATAATTTCCAAAAAGTTATCAAAGTAATTATAAAATATACAAAATTTTTATTAATTTTTGTTTTTGTTTTTTTTTAAAGATGGAATTTTGTTCTTGTTGCCCAGGCTGGAGTGCAAAGGTGTGACCTTGGCTCACCACAACCTCCGCCTCCTGGGTTCAAGCGATTCTCCTGCCTCAGCCTCCTGAGTATCTGGGATTACCGGCATGCACCACCATGCCCAGCTAATTTTGTATTTTGAGTAGAGACGAGGTTTCTCCATGTTGGTCAGGCTGGTCTCGAACTCCTGACCTCAGGTGACCAGCCCGCCTTGGACTCCCAAGGTGCTGGGATTATAGGCATGAGCCACCGTACCTGGTTAATTTTTATTAACATTAACATTAAATCATGAATTGTACTGAATACCAGCAATACCAAGACACCAGTGCAAAAAGATTAAAAAAAAAAACAAACATGAATTGTAATCAGTAAATATAACACATCAAGGCTAAAATTACATAGAAGCTAAAAATTTTAACACTTTTTTTTTGAAATTAACTAAATCTTTTAAATAAACCCCATCTCTACTGAAAATACAAAAAAAAAAAAAAATTAGCCAGGCATGGTGGCACATGCCTGTAGTCCTAGCTACTCAGGAAGCTGAGGCAGGAGAATTGCTTGAACCCAGAAGGTGGAGGTTGCAGTGAGCTGAGATCGCACCGCTGCACTCCAGCCTGGGCAACAGAAGACTCCGTCTCAAAAAAAGAGAAGAAAAAATGTAGATAATCAGGTATTTGCCAAACTTTCGTATTTTAATAACTCCCAAATAATGTGAGCTACAGGTAAGACCTACTTTTGACAATCTGTTTTCTGATCATCTTTTTCTCGCTTCTCTTTTTCCAGACGCTTTTTGTTTCTCTCTGTTATCAGTTTTTCTGCAGGAATCTCTGGAACTCCCATAGCTGCTGCAAATTGTGCTGCACCGTGGTGAGTCAGAAAGCAGTGAGGTGTCTGAGCCAGAAAGAAGAGAAAATGATTGGTTTTTGGAAAATTTTAAATATTTTAAACTGTTCTAACTGTGTTGAAATAATCACTTCTCTTTGGGTGAAAGGCTCAAAAATATAAATTCCAGTGGTTTGCTTTTCTATATGCTGAACAAAGCCTGACTCTCTTCTGAGTTTTTGCACACACACAAAAAAGACCCCAGCCAAGCGTGGTGGCTCATACCTGTAATTCCAGCTCTTTGGGAGGCTGAGGCTGGGGGATCACCTGAGGTCTGGAGTTTGAGACCAGCCTGACCAACATGGAGAAACCCGTCTCTATTAAAAATACAAAATTAGCCAGGTGTGGTGGTACATGCCTGTAATCCCAGCTACTTGGGAGGCTGAGGCAGAAGCATTGGTGGGGGGGGGGGGAGGGAGCCTGAAGTGGAGTATTTTTATTTCATTTCAGTCCGGGGAGGGAAAAGAAAAGCAAAAAAAAAAAAAAAAAAAAAAAAAAAACCTCGATGGAATGTTACTAGAGATGCGATTTACATGTTATGTTAAATTTAGAGAACTCAATCCATCTTTAGCACATGCTATTAAATAGCTGGGCTGGTCTGGTCAGTTTGTATGTGGTGTGAAGAAAATACAGGAAGATAAAGTAATCACTCACTGGTCAAGTGATTACTGGTTAAGAATCTTGGCTGATATGAGAAACTCAAATACATTGCTTCTGTTTTTTTACATATTTATGAGAACACTGATCTCAAGTATTTCTGCACAGTTGGAGCCCTTCTCACTGAAGTGTAGCGATAACAATTCATTAGGAAAAGGATGCTTTAGTCAAATATACCTTTTCCATGACAAGCCGAGCAAGTTTGATGGGATTTGCTATACCCCGGACTGCGGACACTGCTCCTGTAGACAGGTCTTTTCCATCCATGATACTAGCGTCCATTTCAACCTCACCATTTGTGTTCAAGACAGACCCACAACCTAAAACCAAAAACAAGTTGAAAAGCAAGACTTAAGAATTTAGAAACAGCTCCAGATTTCCTCAAATTTGTCCCATTTAATTCATCCTCTACTCCATTGCCAGAGGAACTTTTTTTTTTTTTTTTAAGAGAGAAATCTTGACTTGTAGGCTGGTTGTGGTGGCTCACGCCTGTAATCCCAGAACTTTGGGAAATCAAGGTGGGCATATCACTTGAGGTCAGGAGTTTGAGACCAGCTTGGTCAACATGGTGAAACTCTGTCTCTACTAAAAATATAAAAATTAGCCAGGTGTGGTGGTATGTGGTTGTAATCTCAGCTACTCAGGAGGCTGAGGCAGGAGAATCACTTGAACCTGGGAGGCGGAGTTTGCCATGAGCCAAGAGTGACAGAGTAAGATTTCATCTCAAAAAAAAAAAAAAAAAAAGAGAGAAGTCTGACTTGGCACTCCATGACCTACAAAATAAAAAGTACAAAGCCCTTCCCAACCTGACCTCTGACCTGCTTTTCCAGCTTCATTTTCTCTCCTTGGCTATATTTTCCTGAAATATTAGGTTTCCTTGAATAGAGTAGTCCCCTTATCTACAGCCTTGCTTCTGAGGTTTCAGTTACCCTCGGTCAACCTTGGCCCCAAATTTTTAAATGGAAAATTCCAAAAATAAACAATGTGATTCCTTCCTTTATTTTTATTATTATTGTTTTTGAGACGGAGTCTCGCTCTATTGCCCTGGCTGAAGTGCTGAAGTGCAGTGGCGTGATCTCTGCAACCTCCGTCTCCTGGGTTCAAGTGATTCTTCTGCCTCAGCCTCCCGAGTAGCTGGGACTACAGGCGTGTGGCTTCACACCTGGCTAATTTTTGTATTTTTAGTAAAGACGGGGTTACACCATATTGGCCAGGCTGGTCTTGAACTCCTGACCTCATGATTCACCCGCCTCAGCCTTCCAAAGTGCTGGAATTACAGGCATGAGCCACAGCGCCTGGCTACGATTCCTCCCTTTGTCCAGCACACTGTATAGGTTCCCTGCTGTTAGTCACTTAGCAGCCATCTTGATTATCAAGTAGTACCACAGTGCTTGTGTTTGAGAAACCCTTATTCTAACTAATAATGGTCTCAAAGCACAAGAGTAGTGATGCTGGCATACCGTTATAATTGTTCTATTTTATTATCAGTTATTGTTATTAATCTCTTATTGTGCTGAATTAAGATACTAAACTTTATCATATGTATGTAAGTATGTATGGAAGGTTGAGTACCATTGGTGGTTTCAGGTACCCAAAGGCGGTCTGGAACACATCCCCCATAGATAAGGGAGGACTGCTATATACCAGGAGCCCGCGTGTCTCTGTGCCTTTGCACATGCTGTTGTTTTTACCACTAGCACCTTCTCTCTGTATTTCTCTGCCCAGATAATGCCTACAAATCTAGCTATGCTTCTCAACCTCTTTGTGCCTGTTTCCTCATGCGCAAAATGAGTAAGAACATCAACTCATTTAATCCTTACAACCACCAATGAGGTAGATATTGCATATTAAACACTCAGAATAATGTCTAGCATGTGTAGGCAAACAGTAAGTGTAGGCCTCCCAAAGTGCTGGGTTTACATGCGTGAGCCACCATGCTTGGCTAAAAAGGCATCCTGGAACATTAGGAAGGAAGAATAAAGGAAGGAGTAAAAAAAGGATAAATATGATAGACTTTCCTTCTCTTGAATTTTCCAAATTACATTTGCCATTTAAAGCAAAAATGGTAACATTGTCTGAAGTGGTTCTCAATGTACATAGCAGAAACATCTCAGTTATATGATCAGCAGGGGAGGGTAAAGGGACTATAAAGAAAGGTAAGGCTTCTACAGGCTGCTTAACCTGGTAAAATGTTAACTTTTTAGACTGTGATAAGTTACATGTATTTATCCATCTACAGGTGTTGATCGACTTACGACCTATGCAACTTACGACCATTCGACTTTACGACCACAATCGCTAGCCACGACTACTCCGCGTCTGGCAGCGCAAACGTTGCCCAGCTGGGCGTACGACAGTGCAGACCAGCTTCTGGCAGCACTACCATCTCTGCGTGCACCATTTCAACTGTTATCCCAGACTCTTGTGTCTTGGATATTTTTCATCAAACCCCTCCCAATAAACTTCTTATACATTTCGAAGCAATGGACCCAAACATCCAACGATTTGCAAGGATTGAACAGATGACGCACGATGTGTTTTGCCGTATCATGAAATTTATGAAGAAAAAAAGAAACATACAATTCAGACAAAGCTCACCATGTTTATGAGAAAACCAACTTTGGTAACCCCAACCGCTGCCTCAGATGACGACATCAACGATCCGCAGCCAAGCACCAGCGGCCAATAAAATGTTTCGTACATGTTTATATATTTTGATATGTTTTGCAATTGGGAAAATGTTTCCTATGGTATTTTTTACACCCGTATTTTGCATTTTTGTATGCACCTGTATTTTGTAATTTTGTATGTTTTGCAAATATTAAACCAGTTGTACTGGTAATGCAGTGTTTTACTTAAACCTGACAAATGCAAAAATAAGAAACAAAATGGTGTAGAGATGATACAAATGGCATAAAATGAACAAAGAAAATTATAAGATATAATAATGAAAGAAAATTATGATAAAATATGACTTAAAGATTTTTATAACATCATTTCACAGTACTGTACATATAGCCTACTCAACTTACGACCAAATCGTGTTACGACCGGTCTGTTGGAACCAATCGTGGTCGTAAGTCGAGCACTAGCTGTACAGCATAAATTCTAGAGCAAACACCTACAACATCTAGACAAAGAGATACACTCAATAATAGTACAGGTAAAACAAAATGAAATTCTAAAAAATGCTCAAGTAACTCATAGGGAGGCAAGAAAAAGAAAGCAAAACCAGCAAACAACACTAGACACACAATAGCAGGTTTAACCTCAATATATCAGTGATTATATAAAATGCAAATCTTCTGAATACACTAATTAAAAGACAGATATAGGCAGAGTGGATAATTTTATTTTTATTTTTTTGAGACGGAGTCTTACTCTTGTTGCCCAGGCTGGAGTGCAGTGGTGGGATCTTGGCTCACTGTAACCTCTGCCTCCTGGGTTAAAGCAATTCTCCTGACTCTCAGCCTCCTGAGTCGCTGGGACTACAGGCATGTGCCACCAACCCAAGCTACCTTTTGTATTTTTAGTAGAGACGGGGTTTCACCATGTTGGCCAGGCTGGTCCCCAACTCCTGGCCTCAAGTGATCTGTCTGCCTTGGCCTCCCAAAGTGCTGGCATTACAGGCGTGAGCCACCGTGCCCGGCATGGGTAAAAAATTTGACCCAGCTATATGCTGTCTACCACATGACCCAGAAATCACAACCCTGGGCATTTATCCCAGAGGTATGGACATATATGTTCATATAAAAACCTGTTCACGAATGTTCATAGCAGCTTTATTTGTAATAGTCCCAAACCAGAAACAACCAAAATATCCTTTACCAGGTGAATGTGTAAACAAACAGTGATAAACCTATACTAAAAAATGCTATTCAGCAACAAAGGAATAAATGATATGGGCAACAACTAGATGGATCTCAAGGGCAAAAATGCTGAATGAGAAAGGCCATTTCCAAAAGGTCACATACTGTATGATTCTGTCAGAGGCATTTGAACCAGAGCAACTCCATCTTTAATAGGAGCTGAGTAAAATAAGGCTGAAACCTACTGGGCTGCATTCCCAGATGGCTAAGGCTTTTTAAGTCACAGGATAAGATAGGAGGTCACCACAAGACACAGGTCATAAAGACCTTGCTGATAAAACAGGTTGCAGTAAGGAAACCAGCCAAACCCCACCAAAACCAAGATGGCCACGAGAGTGACCTCTGGTCATCCTCACTGCTACACTCCCACCAGCGCCATGACAGTTTACAGATGCCATGGCAACGTCAGGAAGTTGCCCTATATGGTCTAAAAAGGGGAGGCATGAATAATTCACCCGTGTTTAGCATATCATCAAGAAATAACCATAAAGATGGGCAACCAGCAGCTCTCAGGGCTGCTCTGCCTAGGGAGGAGCCATGCTTCAGTCCTTTACTTTCCTAATCAACCTGCTTTCACTTTACAGATTCACCCTGAATTCTTCCTTGCACGAGATCCAAGAAAACCTCTCTTGAGGTCTGGATCGGTATCCCTGCCTGGTAACAATTAAATTTATAGAACATTCCCCAAACAATAAAATGATAGTGACAAGAAACAGATAAGTGATTGCCAGTTGTTAGGAAGGATGTCATACTGTGATTTCTACTGAGAAACGCATACAGCTGTCCCTCAGTATCCGTGGGGAACTGGATATAGGACTCCTGGAAATATTGAAACTGCCTTTGCAAAAATTATTTCAGTGAGAAAATATGACAGTGAAGGAGATCTGAGTTAACATACCATCCTATCTTGCCATTCCCCTAATTATTCCTGGGCTACTGTTCGGAGCTAACTTTGAGAAACATTTAGGCTATAGTTCAAAGGATAACAGGCCTTGCCCAAAACACAACTGCTTTTGTGAAGTGAATGAAAGTTCATCTAGGTTGAGCACGCTGGCTCACGCTTGTAATCCCAGCACTTTGGGAGGCCAAGGTGGGTGGATTACGAGGTCAGGAGTTCGAGACCAGTCTGGCCAACATGGTGAAACCTTGTCTCTGCTAAACAATCAAAAATTAGCCAGGCATGGTGGTGTATGCCCGTAATCCCAGCTACTCAGGAGGCTGAGGCAGGAGAATTGCTTTAACCTGGGAGGTGGAGGTTGCAGCGAGCTCAGATCGTGCCACTGCATTCCAGCCTGGGTGACAAGAGAGAGACTCCATCTCAAAAAAAAAAAGAAGAAATGAATGACAAAAAAAGCACATGAAAAGATGTTAAATATCACTTCCCATTTAGGGAAAGGCAAATCAATGCCATAATAAGATTCCACTATATGCCTACTGGGATGGCTAAAATAAAAACTGCTGACACTAGCTAGTGCTGATGAAGATGTC